TTTTGCTGCTTGGTGGTGTGGCAGCGGTGAGTTGTTGGGTTGCAGGCGGCCGGTTTGGGAGTTGTTGTTGGTGGTGTAAAGGTTGGGACACAAAGGGATTTTCATAATTATGATTAAGTAATTCTTAAAAAATACATGTATTCTAAAGAATACATAATATAAATACAATTTAAATATATTATGGACCTTAAAAATAATTCAAAATAAAAATCAAAATACTTAATATGGGCCAATTAAATTTCGCCATATCAGCATATTGTGGTGTCATTTTTTAAGAATGACATTGTAGATTTTTTAATGGATATAGAGGTTTAAGATTGAAATTTCAATCATTATTTTGTCTTTAAAGTCATAATATTCGTAAGTGTTCGCTACAAATTTATAAAGATGAAAACTAATATGGTTTGATTGCATCATTTACCTAACCACCATGCTCAAAGGCGCCTATTCACGAGACTTTCATGAATCCAGGATGCAAAATCAATGGGTGCCGGAGCTGCTTCCAATTGCTCGGGAAACCCATCCAAAAAGCAGAAAAACGATGTATGTTGTTACAAATTCCTAAGCTATCTTAACAAAATCTTTCGTACTCTTCATCGTTTTTATCACAAGTATTTAAAAATCTTCACCACTATTCGATACATTAGTTATTCTTAAAAAATACTAGATGACGCTTCAATATAACAAAAATCTTGTTTTCTTAATAAGTCGATCTCCAATACTCTGAAAAATTAGGAAGATTCTAGATTTTTTAAAAGATAGATTACGGTTAATTTTAACAAATCTAATGAAGGGATGGTTGAAGTAAATATTTTTGTCTTAAAAGGAAAATACAGAGTTGCGAATTTTATAGTTGATTTTGCACATTTTTATTTAGACGTAATTAAGAGCGTAACTAATTTCCTTAATGAGTAAGGATGCAGTTGGTTAAACTTTAGAGCGTCCTATAAAAAAAAGGTTAGACTTTAGAGCCTCTTACTAGGTTAAAATCCCGTGCAATAATGTACGGTTGTTAAATATTTTTTACAATCAAAATATAAGGTATATAAAATATATCCAGCAATATTTTATTTAGGTATATATAGGATAGGATAAAAAAAAAGATTTTGCAATAAAAAAAGAGATAAGTGAAAAAGGCGGGAAAATTTTTCACAAGGTATTGACAAGTGTTATAGATGGATTTGCTATTAGTATAGGTTAACTAGGTTAAGTCCCGTGCCATGCACGATTATAATTAACTTTGCAACAAAAATTATAAAGAATGATTTTTTTTTTTTTTTTTTTTTTGAGGGGAATAAAGAATGGTTGTTAATTTAACAATAATTTATCCAAAAAAAAAAAAATTTGAGACAAAATAACTTGAATTTTAATTTATACCAAATGCGTAAAGGTTATTATTTTGAATTATTTTATATAAAAAAATTATTTAGTAATAGAAATTTAGAAGCTATTAGATTTTATATAAGAAAATGAAATTCTAAGCTTAGGTTAGTACTCGTGTATGTCTGAAGAAAAAAAAAAAGGTTAGGGCCTGTTCTCATTAACTGATCTTAGCCGAATTGAAATAAACTAAACTGAAATGAAATGAATATTTTATACACTACTAGAAATAAGCTAAATTCCGACGGAAAAATTCCGTCGGAAACACCCTGAAATCCGTCGGAAATAGGGTTTCCGACGGAATTCCGTCGGAAGAGGTTGTCGGAAAATATGTTGTAGGAAAAATGAACTTTTCCGACGAAAATTCCGTCGGAAACAATATTCCGACGAAATTTCCGACGGAATTATCCGCCGGAAAAATATTTTCAGGTACTGCAACAATCCGTCGTAAAATTCCAACGGATTCAATTCCGTCGAAAATTTCCGACGGAATTTCCGTCGAAAATTTCCGACGAAATTTCCGTCGAAAATTGCTTTTATGAAATTTTAAAAAAATACGCCGCGCCACCACGGGCACGGCGTATCACCACCTCCAACCACCAAAAAACCCAACATCAGCAGTCCATAACCACCCCACCACCCACAACCACCACATCTACTACTAATAACCACCAGATCAACCACCCACCGACAACCTCCAACCACCCAAAACACCCCTGTTAACCCCAACTACACCCACTTCCTAACCCTAACCTATCCACAACACCACCCCCACCCATACCCAGATCCACATCACCACCACCACAACCACCCTAACCTATCCACAACACCACCACAACTTTACCCTCACCCTGACCGAACTCTAAACAAAACACCCATACCCCACCCTCACCCATACCCAGATCCACCCACCTAAACACCCAAACCCGGACCCGACCGAACCCGACCCCACCTAAGCCCAGATCTCACAGCCACCACAAACCACTGCAAATGCTAAACGCACGCACATCAGCCACATCCACCACCACCACCGAAATCCATATTTATAAAAAAAAATAATCGGAAACAAAAATAAAAAAATTAAAACATAAAACATACCTGAAATTGAAATATGCTTCGAATTTCAACACGGAAACGGTTTAACAAGGCAAAATTCGGCCATGAAAAGTGTAGATCTAAACTTTTCATGGCCGAATTTGGCCTAAAAAACCTTTCAAGTAGTTGGTTGATGCCGTTTGTGTGTTGGTCGTTGATGACGGTGGTGTTTGATGACGGTGGTTGTGTTGTTGATGCCGTGGTGTTTGATGACGGTGGTTGTGTTGTTGTTGATGCCGTGGTGTGGTGGTCGAAAGAGGGGAAAGTACGGAGAACGAGAGGAGGGAGAACGAGAGGAGAGAGAACAGAGAGAAGAGGAAAGACAGAGAGGAGGAGAGGAGATCGAGAGAAGAAGATAAGAGGGAGAAGCAGAGAGGAGAACGAGAGGAGAGAGAAGCAGAGGAACGGAGAAGAGAGAGAGTGGAGAGGAGAAGAGAAAATAGGCGCTTCTCAAGTTTTAGGGTTTTGTAGCGGAAATGGTTTTTTTAAAAAATAAATAAATTATGTTCCGACGGAATATTCCGTCGGAAACTTACGACGAACTATCAATCCGTCGGAAAAGGTAATTTCCGACGGAAAATTCCGTCGGAAAATACAAAAATTCCGACGGAATCGATGAATTTCCGACGAAAAAAAAATACGTCGTAAATTTCCCTTTTTCCGACGGAAAATTGGGTCCGTCGGAAGCAGTCCGTCGGAATTAAGCTATTTTCTAGTAGTGTATAAGAGAAGGAAATTAGGAGCTGAACTGAATTGGATTGAATTTCAACGTATGAGAACAGACCCTTAGTACTCGTATACGAACTCATATACATTCGTTCTTATATTTTTGTTGACACACTTTGACCGGCATTAAATGAAAATTTAGTTGATTTTATATTACTTTAGGATATTTAGTATTCCGTAATCAACTTTTAAAAAATATATTTATAGTGAGTAGTAGCAGTTTTTATTTTAATTTTATTGCATAAAATGTGTAGAGTAATTAGATTGAAGTTTTCAATATATGGTTAGTTAAAATATTTTACACTATTCATGTGTCATCATTTACTTAATTTATTTTACCAATATACAATAAAAATATGATCATATAAAATGTTGTTGGATTTGGCATATGTCTGATTATATATATATATATATATATATATATATATATATATATATATATATATATATATACATACATACATGTAAAATCATAATTTTCAATAATCTCTAATAAAATATGTTGATAATTAAAGTTGTGTCTCGGCAAATGTGCAAATCCAATTCTAGTCTATAAAAAACGGAGGGAGTATAATATAATAAAAAATTTTTGTTAAGTTGTTTGTATAGACGTTGTGTATAATTTTAAGATTCATACAAATTACGCGACCAAAATGATTTTTCTATTTTTAATTAAAATAAATTTTATTGCCAAATGATTAATGTTGGAGCTTGGACGAAAAAATTGATACTCCTTAATATTATAATAATATTGGACAATGATATATTTCAATACCTTATTTTTAATCTATGTTTGTATATTTGTAACTAAAAGATTTTTTTTTTTTTTTTTGAAAACAAGCAAGCGGGATTTTATTATAATAGATCCATTTCTGCCAAAGTTATTAAACTTTGGGGAAAGGAGGACATACAAATACGTTCCGATGAGTTATAAGTATCCCAACGGGCCACATTGTGAGCAAGAACATTCCCGCTACGCTTAACATGAGAGCAACTAAAGGAAATAAACAAAGAACTGGAAAGAAACACATCTTCATAGAATAAGAAAATAGGAGCAGCTCCCTGTTGCCTTCCACAAATTGCCGATACCACTCTCTGAGCATCACTTTCAAGGACCACATGGTCGAAGCCAAACCTCCTCGCCAGTTGGATGCCATAAGCAGCAGCACCAGCTTCTGCAAGCTCAGGGCTCCACCTCGCCATGACCTTCTTTACCGCAGCCACCAAAAGCCCTCCAGCAGCATCACGAATAACCACTCCAAAGCTAGCACTCACCCCTTCCACAATATGTGCATCAACGTTTATTTTCACAGCAGGGGCAGCAGGGGGGATCCATCTTGCATTAGATACAGCAGTGCTAGGGGCAGGGGCACGATTACTAACCTTCACATTATAGCTCACATAATCTGCACATAGTTTTACAAATCCAATAGCTGTACTTACGGGGTCAGTCACTTCATTCTCGCTAAAAATAGCCTTGTTACGGCAGAACCACGCTGCCCACGCCAGTGCACAGAAGCAGCTAAGCATGGGTCCATCCAGTTTATCACACAGCCATAAAAACAAGTCAGAGAACGAATTTAAGGGGGCATCATTCAATAAATCCAGAAAATTGCTTTTCTCCCAGATTTTTGTGGCAGCCTTGCAGAAGAAAAGTGCATGAATATTAGTTTCCACTCCCCCATTACATATTGTGCAGCGATTATTGGTTCGAATGTGGCGCTTGTATAGAACATCAAGCACTCCCAAACTCCCCATACATGCTCTCCAAATAAAATGACATAACTTCGGGGGTCCTTTCAAGTTCCATACATATTTCCAGAGCTCAGTGTTGTCACTCCCATGGAAGAGTTCCCACGTTCGCAAATGCCCAAGCCTACGAAGCCAATACCCTGATTTAACCGAGTATACCCATCCTTGGTCGGCCACCAATACCTCATATCACACTGCCACCTCCTAGACAAAGGAATGTCAAGAATGGCTCTCTTGTCTCCCTCATTGAAATGAGCATCCAACACCCCAACATCCCAGCAGCCTCCATTAAAATCAATCAGCTCACACACACGAAGGTCCGGATTGTGATTTGGCAGAGGGGTTGGTACATAGAGCTGTCCTTCACCACGAACCCAAGATTCCTCCCATACCCGAATTGAGACCCCATTCCCAACCCTCCATTTCAATCCATCAAGAAGAAGTGATTTTGCCCCCCACATGCTTCTCCAACTATAACTCGGATCAAAGCCCCTTAGAGCCTCTAAAAAGTCAGAATTTTTATAATATCGAGCCTTCAAAATAGCATGTAGCAAGGGGTTACCTTCTTGAGAAAGCCTCCAACATTGCTTTGCAAGCAAAGCTTGATTAAAGCACTTCAAATCACGGAATCCCAATCCCCCCATAGACTTTGGAAGACATAATTTCTCCCAACTATGCCAATGCATTTTCCTATCCACCCCGTTCGAGCCCCACCAAAATCGAGCTAAAATGGAGTGGATTTCATCAATAAGACCATCCGGGGTTTTAAAAATATTCATCATGTATGTGGGAATAGCTTGAGCCACGACTTTTATCATTACTTCCTTCCCCGGGCGAGATAACAATTTTTCCTTCCATCCTTGAAGCTTCTTCCAGATTCTCTCCTTTAGACATGCAAACACGGCTTTTTTTATCTCCCTATTATAGTCGGCAAACCCAAATATTTTTCATGTCGAACTACCTCTCGAACCCCAAGAGCTGCCACAATCAAGTTTCGTTGGTCCAAAGACACACATTTGCTAAACGCGACTTCGGTCTTGCTTAGATTAACTTTCTGACCCGATGCCCTTTCATACGTATTGATTATATCAGCAATTTTAGAGCATTCTTGCAAATTTTCTTTAGCAAACACGATACTATCATCAGCAAAAAAGAGGTGAGATATTCTAGGTGCCCCTCTACAAATTCGAACCCCACTCAGAAGCTTATCATTCACCGCCTTAGAAATAAGAGTTGAAAAAGCTTCCGCACATAAAAGAAAAAGGTACGGAGAAATGGGATCACCTTGTCTTAGTCCACGGGACGGAGTGAGGGAGCCTTTGATCTTGCCATTATATTTGAAGGAGAAAGAAACACTGGAAAGACATTGCATTATTCGAGCTATCTTGAACCCAAACTTTAACATCACACTTTCCAAAAAGCACCATTCGACCCTATCATAAGCCTTGGTCATGTCCAACTTAAGAGCCGCCGTCCCATCTTGCCCTTCACCTTCATCGCATGAAAAACCTCAAAAGCCACAAGAGCATTATCAGTAATTAATCTCTTCGGAACAAAAGCACTCTGTTGTATGGAAATAATCGACTCAAGGAAAGGCTTTAGTTTATTTGCAAGGGTCTTCGAAATTATCTTGTAAAGCACATTACATAAACTAATAGGTCGATATTCCGTTATACTCTTAGGATCATTGCATTTTGGAATAAGCACAATACAAGTTGAGTTCACATCATTCAACAGACATTACCCCTCCACCAACTCTTCACAAACCGAATTACATCCCCACCAATAATATCCCAAAATTTATGGAAAAAGAGGGCATGCATACCGTCGGGTCCGGGCGCCTTATTAGGATGCATCTGAAATAAAGCTTCCCTAATCTCTTCTGCACGGAGTAGCTAATTTAGTACTCCTCCGTACTAAATTACTGTACGTATAGCGTACGAGTACATAATGTTGGATAAAATAAGAAACAAGTTAACAAGAAACATGTATGTAATTAAACAGTATTACATGAAAAGTAATTAAAACGAAAAACTGGAATATAGATCTTAACAGAAAAAAAAAAAGAAAAAAGAAAAAAGGCAGCAATACAAGCAACAACCACTTGATGATCAGCTGGAAAAACTACAAAACCATATTTATGATCAGTAGGATAACCTACAGAACCATGGGCATAACCATAACTTGATTGTTGTATAATAACAGGTGGTGGTGATGGTGTCCGATGGCCTCAGTCACCAAATAAACCACCAGACGAACAGCCAATGCCATTGTCGAGAACGGCCGTGACAAGCGTTGGCTGCACTACCATGATCGGTTGAAATTAATTAGTACAAGCTGTTGTAGAATATTTATAATTTAATTTAGATATAATTAAAGAGACGTGGTTTCTACGTACACCCATTTCATAATCAAAATTAAACAGACGTGCATTGGTTTTGTCGATCAAGTCAATGGCTCAATGCATTATGCATGCTTTCGAATAATATGGTGTACTATAGATTATGTCATTATCTTATGGGATCTCATTAGATTCATTAGGATGCAAATTTTCTAAATATATACAAGTAGTGCGGATTACATTTGTATAATTTAAACAAATATGTGATTTAAGATTTTAATGACTAAATAAGAGCATTAGAGATCACATGCATGTGAAGAACTTTATGAAACAGGAAAGCATTATTTTATTTACAATTTGACACTAACAGTCCCAGTTATGATTTACCTTCTTTAAAAGGCCTTAATTGTCGTTAAACAATTATGAGCAGTCCTAACTTTAGAGGAGTCCTTCTCAAAACAATCTCAATCAAATTTTTTAACCAATTTGACTGATTAATAGTGGCACTATGCATGCATGTCCTGTTTTCGTTATTAGGCTTAGTTAAAAAATAAATAAATAATCCTTCACTTCTCTAAACTTCCACCCCCTATGTTTAGGTCGTTGTACTGTGTTCTTTTCATCTTAAAACTATATCATTATTAAGTAAAACGACCGCTAAATATTCAACACACGTGGCATTTTTACTTGTTTGTAGGGTCATAATATGCTAGGGACTTTAAGAAATGCCATCCCAAAGTAGGTATTGTCATGAGTTAATAGATATATAGTTGGGATTGTTTAAAGAAGATTGTCCATAGCTAGGACATGTGGTGTAAATTATCCTTTTATTTATTACTAGTGTTTATACACGTGATGTGTGATTTTAATTAATTTTATACTTCTTTAAGGTCATTAGTAATAATTCTTCTTAAAGAACTGGCTATACACATCGTGCGCGTTGGATTCCTTAGTTTCAATAAAATATTAATCCACATATCAATCAATTTACGCTAATTTTAAAAATAATAATCTTGTCATCATTCATCAAATATCAAATAAATTAACAAAAAATAAATAGTAATCAATGAAATCATATTGTACACTTGCCGTAATATGCTGTATAGTAAGTAAAAGTAACACATATATAATGTTGAATGAAAATAAGAATTAAGAAACAAGAAACATGTAAACAATATTACATCAAATATAAAATGAAAGTTTCCAATATAAATTTAAGAGAAAAGAAAACGGCAGCAATACAATTATGGTTGTCCAACACGCACTTGAGCACCTGCTGGATAAACTCCGCCTGGATAAACTACTTCGCCTGGATAAACTTGAGGACCATATGGATCATATACTACTGGTACCACTTGTTGTTGCTGTACTATTACTTGTTGTGGTGGTGGATCCCTCTGGCAAGCTCGACCACCAAATATACCACTAAACGCACAGCTAATACCGTCGGCTAAGCCGCCGGCAAAGGCCGTCACAAGCATTGGCTGCATTATTACCACGGCTATCAATAACACCACCATACACTTTGTGACTTGACTCATTTTCTTTTTGTTCTAGCTTGTTATATCAAAGATTGATTGAATGAAGTTAATTAGTGGATCGAATTGGATCAACCATTTATAATAAGGCCAGATATGTTAATGTAGAATATTTAATCAAACAGTAGACGTGGTTTCCACATCCATTTCAACATAATCAAATTAAACAGCTAGACGTGCAGTAGCTGTTCCTCATCCATTATAATTCATAATAATGCATGCTTTGAAAATTAATTTCTAAGTATATTTCAATATTTGTGTGCCACTGAATAATTAACATGCTCTACATGATGGCTTTTAAACTTTTTATAACTAATTAATTTAACATGCGTTTACTCTTGAAGCTAAGCAAAGGTAGGCCTTGGTCAAGCCTTGGATGAACTTAAGCAGTTACAAGATTAGAGTTGAAGCGTCCGAATTGAATACCACATATACAGGCACGTAAGCGATTGGTTAAGTTATACTCCGTACTAGATTAATTTATCCAGGTTATTCAATACTCGTATAATTTTTTCCTCGTACTTGAGGCTTTTTCTACTATTTGTATAATTTGGCCTGATCTAGTCAGAGCGAGTTAAAACATGAGAATTGTATACCAAATTTAGCTAACAATTTATCATTACTTAAAGTTATACTTGATTAAGTTATCCAGATTACCCAGTTAATTATCTTGTTGACTTGGATTCCACCATCACTAAAACGTACGTACTCCGTTCATTTTATCACTACTCTTTATTACTTTATTACTCCGTAGTAGCAAGTTGTTACTCGGGTAAACTTTTATTTTTTTACTCAACGTCCATTATTTTTTTGGGCCCGTTATAAGCTGGCCACACCATGTAGCCACGTACAAAAAGATGTCAAACTTTTATTATTATTAATTTTTTTATTTTTTTTTTATAAAATACAAAGTGTTTTTTTTTTTTTTACAAGACTTGGTGTGAGGAACAAAGTCAACTATCAACGTTTACTGAATGATGTGTCATTGTGTCCAAACTCCAAAATCAGACCAAAAAATAATTGTAGTTGTTACGCCATCATCTTCTTTCAGCTTTCTTCAACTTCACTCACTCCCATGCGCTTCTCCAACATTCTTTCCTCCAACCTATTCACTAAATCTCCATACTTTACACTTTATACTTGATTCACCTTCAATTACAAAATCATAGTTGAATCCAACTGTTCGACCCCTTGATTTTCGGATTCAGATACCTTGTTTAAGGTCAGTTTTACTCTAATTTATGCTCAAATTTACTGTATTTAGTATGATTTATGATATTTGATCATTGCTTAGTTAGTTGAATTAGATACTTTGGTAGCTAGGAATCAAGATCTTACTTTCTGGTGTTTGACTAAACCCTTGAAATTAGTACTTTTACTGCAACTGATGATTAGGGAGACTTTATAATCATGTGAATTTGTGGATTTGAGCAACTGGGTTTTGCAAGATTAGGGGTTAATTGCATTTTCTGAAGTGGGTTTATTTCTATTTTGGTTAATTTGTATGAATTGAGTTGTTGATCATGAGGGTTTTGCCAATTTGGACTCTACATGTATTGTTGTTAGTGTTTCTGTTGATTGGGGGTTTACGAGTTGCGAATTTGATTTGGATTTCGTGGACGCCGAATCTGAGGTGGAAGATGATGCTGTTAGAAGAGCCCCCCAATATGATCGTTTAGATGAAGTGAAAAAAGCATGTTCTAAAGTCATATCTTCTGCTACTGAACTGAAAATTGATGACAATGTAATTGATAGGATTAAGAATGAGATTTTCTTTAATAATGGAGATTGGGAGCAAGAAGGAACTAATGCACCTTTGTTGCCATTTGATGATAGACCACCGAGAATGTCATCTAGTTATGATTATGAACTATACAACGCTTCTCGTTTGATGCCGCCGTATAAGCTTGTATCTTTCAAATTGACTGATGTTAGCAGTGCTCATCGGTCTAAAAGGACTGTAGCTGTCAATGGCTATCTTTATTTTGTGATTACCTCTAGTCTCCCTTTGGCAACTATGAGTGAACGAGTGCTTAAAGGCCCAGAATTTTCCATGTGGAGCCAACATTCTCAGCTTCTTATTAGTCTCCAAGGGGTATATGCTGAATCAAGAAAAAATGGTGGGGAGAAAATGCTGTGTTTGTTGGGTAGCACCATGCTGCCTTCCCGTCAGCCTGATTCTAGTGATTCAGGCTCAAGTGACAATCAGCCAACTCTGCTGCAGGATGAGCAAATCCTAATCGTTCTTAACATTCCAAAGAAAGCTAGTCTAAAGAACAGGGCCATTCAAGGTGAGGTGCGGAGTTTGAACTCGAAAACAAGTCCAAAGTACTTTGATAAAGTTAAAATCACATCTCAGATGCAGGCTAATGCTCGTGACTATGAATTTAACTCTGATGAGATTATAGCAAAGGCATGTAATCCATATCCATACTCGGATACTTCCATAAGTAGCGGCATAGAGCCCTACAAGGGTGCTGATTTTTGTTCAACACTTAAAAAAAATTCCATTAATGGGGCTTTTGTAGTTGTGCCTCATTGGCAATGCAATGGCACTGATGAATTTTGTAGCAAGTTTGGTCCTTTTGCTTCAGATAAACAAATAAACAGTACAGATGGAAGCTTCAAGGATGTGAGAATTCTTGTGCACAACATTGTCTGTGTAACTAAAAAAACAAGGATGTATTTTTTTTTTTTTTTTGTTTTTGAAAACAAGCAAGCGGGATTTTATTATAATAGATCAATTTCCGCCAAAGTTATTAAACTTTGGGGAAAGGAGGACATACAAATACGTTCCGATGAGTTATAAGTATCCCAACGGGCCACATTGTGAGCAAGAACATTCCCGCTACGCTTAACATGAGAGCAACTAAAGGAAATAAACAAAGAACTGGAAAGAAACACATCTTCATAGAATAAGAAAATGGGAGCAGCTCCCTGTTGCCTTCCACGAATTGCCGAGACCACTCTCTGAGCATCACTTTCAAGGACCACATGGTCGAAGCCAAACCTCCTCGCCAGTTGGATGCCATAAGCAGCAGCACCAGCTTCTGCAAGCTCAGGGCTCCACCTTGAAATAAGTATTATTAATAGTATATAGAATATATGTTAAAAAAAAAGTACTACGTATATTAATTGAGTATGATTGGATTAGATACGTTGTCAAAATAGAAATAAGTATTATTGTAGCTTATAAAATGGAAGTCAGTAAAATTTGGCAAAAAAAAAAAAAAAAAAAAAAAAAAAGGAAAGTGCAAAAAGGAGGGAAAATTATTAATGACATTGTGACAAGGGTCATCTTAGATTCGCTTTTAGTATAGGTTAATTGATAGATAGATTAGTTTATTATACATAGTCTTCTCTTGACTTCTTACATACTCTATTTTCTCACTTCCATATTTCACGCCTCTTTCCAAAACCCTCATCCAATCCAAGGCTCTAAACTTATTGCGCAATTCTTACAAAAACTTCAGGTAATTTAATCCGATCGCAAATTCATCACCATTTTAATCTCAACTATCATATAAAAACACGTTCAATTTTATTTTATTTTTTGTTTCTTAATTATTTTAATCCTGACCCAATTCTAATTCATCAATTTCAGGTTTCAATTCAATGCAAGAAGTAAAAAAATCAGCGAAAAAAATGGAGCAAACAACAGCAAAATCAGAATCCGAAACACCAACTCTTCCGGATGATGTAATAGTAGAGATGATTCTACCTAGACTTCCGGTAAAACCCTTAATCCGCTTCAAATGTGTATCAAAATTTTGGCTTACTACACTTTCAAGCAACAAATTCGCAAAAACCCACCTCAATATTTCATCATTATCCAACACTAAATCCCTCATTTATAAAGAGATTAATTGTTACCGAAGGCATAACGGCCGCTTTTTATCCTTTGATGAATGCAACAATATGAAAGAATTTGTCAACTTAGAGGACAGATATAATGGCCCGAGGTATGGACCTACTCCTCGGGCTACTCGTATCGTGGGCTCTTGTAATGGTGTTTTGTGCTTGTTTGATAGCGATTTGTTTGAGTTTGTTCTGTGGAACCCTGTAACGAATCATTACCACCTTGCTGGTGGGCTTGAACTTAATTATGTGCCAAATGATGATGTTACCAGTGTCGGATTTGGTTACATATCTTCTATTGATGACTATAAGATAGGTTGTTTAGTACATTCTGATGAGGGGGTGTGTCATGTTCATGTTTATTCACTAAAAACTAGGGAGTGGAAAGAAACGGCTTGTTTAGAGGCAAAAGAATACGTGCCTATAGATCGATGTTATTATTCGGCCTTAGTTGATGATATTATATACTGGCCTGACCTCCAGAAGCTAGAGTTTATAGGGATGAGAAAAGTCACATCGTTGGGTTGAACTTAGTCAGTGGACTATTGACAAAAGTCCAATTGCCGAATTTACTTACTAGGAATTTCGATGCTAAAGTATTCGAGATAAAAGGGAGTTTGTCATTGTGTTGTACCATGTATGATCATGGTAGACGACATACTACACGAGTTTATGATGTTTGGACTTTAAAGAATAATGGTGACGGAAATTCTTGGGAAAAATCGTTCTCAATCAATATCAAAGGCTTGACTTTACTTTACATATTTGAGACGGGAAAATGTTTGGTAACTCGAAACTCAAACCAGCTTATGCTATTTGATCCTAATGAGGCAACATCGAGTTCATCGACTGAAGGTGATGGAGAAGTTGCGGCTATTTGGCAGCGACGCAAAAGATCAAGAGGAAATTTGTCAAATTTCTATCACAAAGCTATAGCAGACGTCTGGAACTATACAGAGAGTCTCATTTCGCCTTGTGGTATATTTGCGTGTGGTGAATGAAGATGACGGCAAGACTGGAGAAAGAGTTGAAGAAAATGCTTAGGAGCCGAGGCATCAAGCATACAATTATATGTATCATTGTAATATTCGGGTGGTATTGTATGTTCTTAGCATTGTCAAAACAGTTTTACAGTTCGGGTTCGGTTCGGTATTAAATCGGGTCGATTTGAAATCGGTTTAAATGTATGCGGGTCAGTTTCAGTTCGGTTTAAATAGTTATCGGTTCAATTCAGTTTCGATTTATATAATTCGTTTGGGTTGTAAACGGTTCGGGAAGTAAATGGTTCGGTACAGCCGGGTTGCGGTTTGTTAACGGTTCGGTGTAAACGGTTTTTATACCGGTTCAAACAGTTTCGGGTTGGAAACGGTTTCGAGTTAGAAACGGTTCGGTTCTTTTTCACTTTAGTTTTATTTTGGTTCGGTTTGTTGACGGGTTCGCCTTTTATATGATTTAACGTTATTTGGATTAGTTCCATTTCACGTTTACTAAATTATGGTTCAGAACGGTTTTTTATTTCAAAAAGTCGGTTTTTAATCGGGTCGTTTGGATTCGGGCAGTTAAACAATTTTGGTTTGAAATTTCATAGTACTTGCTAACTAACCTTTTGCTCGTTAGCAAGTTTTATATCAATTCGAGACTTCATCACTTCATATTTAGGCATTAGGCAGTTTATTATATACAAATTCTCATCGATTTTAAAAATACATATCATGTTATTTTCAAGTTTAGTCATACTGATGTTACTAGTTTATTACGAAGTAACGTAGATTATAAAAGTTTAGTGTATTAATGAATTATTATTGTTTTACTATCACATTGTTAGTTGCTTCTTATTCAATCATCTAATTGATGTGTCATAATCATGATTTGATGAGTTATTGTGAGATCAAAATTACAGTTTGATTTATAGACAGTTCGGTTTATTAACGGTTCAGTGCAAACGGCTTGCACTTTGTTAACGGTTCGGTGTAAACGGTTTTTACCTCGGTTCAAACGGTTTTAGGTTGGAAACGGTTTCGGGTTAGAAACGGTTCGGTTCTTTTTCGGTTCGATTTGATTTTAATTCGGTTTAAAATTGGTTCGGTTTGTTAACGGGTTCGGTTCTTATACGGTTTGACATTATTCGGATCGGTTCGGTTTCGGTTTTACTTAAATACGATTCGGGTCGGTTTTCGGTTTTACAAAATCGGTTTTTAATCGGTTCGGTTTTCATTTGGGTCGGTTGGTTTCGGACAGTTAAACAGTTTCGGTTTGAAATTTGACAGCACTATATGTTCTCAATTGTATGCTAATTGCACCAACTTGTTTTTGGTCATAGGTTTATTATGTAGCTTTAATTTGAATAATTTCTATGTTTTATTAGGCGCAAAACTTATTTACTCTCTCCGTGTTTTAATAAGTGTTATACTTTGACGGGCACATAGTTTTAGGCAATTTAATTGAATTAAATTAAAATAAGAGGTGAGTGGGGTAGTTAGTTGGTGTATTAAAAAATTATAAAAGAAAGATAATGTAGTTAATAGTTTATTATAAAGTAATAAATGTGAGACTAAAATAATAATAATAATAATAATAATAATAATAATAATAATAATAATAATATAAAAAAAAAGTAGTAGTAGGTTTGTGTGGATACTATGAGACAAATGATTCAATTATAAAGCCTAAGGTTAAAAGTTCAACTCTCCAATCCATGCCAAGTCTAGTCAAAGGCCCAGTCAACGGGGCAAGCCCACTTAGGCCCAATCCTCCCATTAAGCTAAGGTATAAAAGCCATCACTCCTCTCTCTTTACATTCATTCACTTCAACGCTCAAGCAATTAATACTTTTGCATAGCCCTCTCTCTCTAAACACTGCACTAACTTTGGCATCGGAGGGGCTTCCTCGGCGGGCCAGCCCATAACTGATTCAATTATGAAGCCTAAGATTAAAAGTTCAACTCTCCAATCCATGCCAAGTCTAGTCAAAGACCCAGTCAACGTGGCAAGCCCACTTAGTAGGCCCAATTCTCCCATTAAGCTAAAGTATAAAAGCCATCACTCCTCTATCTTTACATTCATTCACTTCAAGGCTCAAACAATTAATACTCTTGCATAGCCCTCTCTCTCTAAACACTGCACTAACTTTGGCATCGGAGGGGCCTTCCTCGACACAACCCCGAGGCAAGTTTATGTGTGTTTACTGTGCAGGAAACCCTCGGCCCATCCACCACTTGGACCGAGTTTAGCCTTCAGCCCACTAAAAGGACTTGTCCGTATGTCCCATTGTTTTCACCTGAAACAACCATGTTTGGTTCCATAGTTTCTAAATGATTCATGAAAACATCAGCTTAGCTTCTTGGCCTAATTTATTTATTTACTAGATAAAAGCCCGTGCGATGCACGGTTCTAGTAAATCTTTTTAATTAATTTAAGATTTTTTTTATATGAAGATCATTCATCGGATATTTGAATATAATTCCTAATATCATAAGATATTTTTTTTAAAATTTTAACACTAAAGTTATCTTTCGTAGGTTTATTTATTTTACGTGGCGCTTGAATTTAAAATGCCAAACCTTATTCTTTAATTTTTCTTAATATAAAATAAATGACAAATCATTTTATTTATTGATTAAAATAAGTCCTTTGCAAATGCGTTTTTTATATACTCGTTTTGTTTCAAAATGTTAGTCTCATCTAAAATCTTTTAACTATTAAAAAAATTAGGAGGAATCTTCTAAATTTCTCTTTTTATATAAGGAAAAACATAGTGATATGAGATTTAATTTTATTCGTTTCGATGAGTACATTTTTAATATCTAATTTTTATAATATTTGCTAGGGAGAGATTAAAGATATTTACGATTAAATATTTACATCCATATATGTAAAAAAGATAATTATTAGTTTTATAAATAATTTAAATTTTAATTGTTCACTATTAGTTATTTTTACCTAGGTGGCAAAATTCTTAAATCTTATTCGTCACTTTTTCTTAGGTGGCGAGTGAATTTTTTAATTCTAAAATAAATTATTAATCTAAAATTTCATTGATCAAAATAATATCTTTTCTTATGTGGCGCGTCGAATGCTTCCGAAAAATGTCTACTTTATTTATATATATATTAGATTTATTTTATTTATTTATTTATTTTATGAGAAAGGGTAAAACAATTACGGCAAAGTTACATCCTGAGGGTTATCACCCCTATTTAGATTACCAATGTCACTAGCTAAACTATTAATACATATATTTGGAGAAACTAGTATAATACAACGCTGGTTCAAAATATTTAGAGTATCTCTAGCATTCTTAGCCAGGTTGTCTGTCACTTGGTTCTTGGCCTAATATAATGCTAACAATTTGTTTTTAGAATTGTATGCTTTTTTTTGGGCTTAGTCTAAATAACAGACTCCTGATTCTAATTGTAGAATGTATCACCATAAATTTATTCACCTAAATCTTCATTATCAAAGCTGTAATAAAACGAGAATATCATATGTACTACTACTCCCTTCGTGTTTTAATAAGTGTTATATTTTGATCGGCACATAGTTTTAGGCAATATAATTGACTTAAATAAAATAAAAGGTAGTTGGAGTATTAAAAATTAAAGAAGAAAGATAGTGAGGTTAATAGTTTATTGAAAAGTAATGGATGTAAGAGAAAAGAAATAAAACTAACACAGTCGTATTTAATAAAAAAAAAGTACTGTTGGGTTTGGGTGGGACCGTGAGATGAGAGAGATTATATTTAAATATAGCTTTTTGCTTAAAAAAGGAAGTGTAACACTTAATAAAACTAACACAGTCGTATTTAATAAGTGTAACACTTACTAAAACACGAATGGAGTATATGAGTGTCAATTTGCAAGCCGCCGGTAAGCTCATCAAGTCATCATTATTAATATGTTTTGGACCTATGATTTTAGGAAGCATCTATTTTTTCTGTCCAAAAAAATAAATGAAGAAAAAATTAAGCATCTATTTAATGTGTCTAATTATAAAAATTAAAGCTAGTAGAGTAGAAGAAAAAAAAAATAATTAATAAAATAAATAGGGAAACAAAATGATGAAATTGAGTTAAATGTAAAAGCAGATGACTTTTTTCATTCTGAAAAGATTGATGTTCTCATATTAAATCTTCATAAAATATTATTATCCAGTTGAAAATATATGAGACATAGTCTATCATGTATTCATGTTTAAATATTTGATAATAACTTTTTTATTCGTAAGAATTTTGAGGGTGGTGTTACAATCTTGTTAGAGATTGTTATTACTAATGCCAAAAATTTTGTTTTTTGAAATTGACATTTATTTTTAAAGAAAATTGTAGTATCATTTTTTTAAAAAAGTTGGAATGTATTTCTTAATGGTTTAAAAATATTTCGTGCTTTTCAAATCTTCGTCACAAGCATTTAAAAATCTTCGCCACTATTTTGATAAACTATTTATTTCTAGCTTAATAAATAAAGTAGATTACGTTATATACAAAACAATTTTTTTATTTCCCTACTTAATCGATCTCCTATATTACGGAAAAATTAAGAAGATCATAGCTAGGTTTGGTTGAAGATTTGCCATCAATTTAGACAAATCTAATTTGGGGATCGTGGGAGTATCATTATTGATTTAAGAGGAAGATACCATCGCGAATTTAATAACAATTTTTACATTTTTATCTACGCGTAATTAAGACCGTAACTAATTTTCTTTATCCATAAAGATATTTTAGGTTAGAGACACTCTCATATCTTGGGCTCTTGGTCTACTATATATATACTCTTCTTTTATCTTCTTACACACTCAGTTGTCTCATTTCAATCTTTACAACCTCCTTCCATAGCCCCAATCTGATTCAAGGCTCTAAATTTTCTGCGCAATTGTTTCAACCTTCAGGTAACTTAATCAGATCTGAAATTCATCCCCATTTTTATCTAAACTATCATTGAATTAAATTGTTATTATTATTGTTATTATTTTTTTAATCTAACCCAATTCCTCTTTTCAATTT